GCTGCCTGTGCAGTGCCGAGTTGTCTAAGTTTCCAGGTTACATGATGGTGAGCTGCCTATTGGCGAGTTGCCTGAGCCCGTGCTGGGCTGCACCTAGTTGTCAAGCTACACAATGGTGAGCTGTTTGTGGCGAGCTGCCTGTAAGTGCCAGGCGTCATAATGTCATTGGAGGGCCAAATCCGCCCTCATCAAAACCGATATGTAAATTAAGGTAGATGATGGGGAGATGTGGAAGACTTGTAGTCTGGCCAGTAAAGAACTAAGATCCTCCACCTCCCAGTCATTTAAGTTCCTTTGCAAAGAGGGGAACCAAATTGGCAGAGAACCCAATACTAATAACAATCTACCACTACAGCTTCCTTGTTAGAGGAAATAGAGAATAGACTCAAATGTGAAAGACTTGTATGGGCTAAGTTTTTCTTGTACCTTTAGAGAATGCAACAAAGGTTGCATTATTGACTAGAAACCAGCTATTAACTTACTATTATGGATACCATGAAATTTGTCTCAGTAGAGTTGGGTTATTGGTACATTGGGTAGGGGGACGGGCTACCCATTATGGCCCAATGAAGCAAAAAATAAGAGTTCTAATAGTCTAGACTCTAAAGAGATGTCGAGACAGAATTAGGACTATTGATATCATATTTGCTTTGACTAACTTTTTCATGACTGATTGGATAGGCTGGCCCTGGCCAGCACCTGGCCTATTGACAGCCATACAATTGATATAGCAGGTCATGCTCTAAAAGTCTACTACTGCCCATCAAGTTTCTAGTTGGTGAGCAAATGTTAAGTGAGTCATTACCTTTTCTAGTCAATAGTGTGACTTTATTTAGTCTTTGTGAAGTGTAACATGATTAGGATTGTATCTAGTTTCTCCTAAGTATGGCCTTTTGTTTAATTATTTAACTCATTTAGTGCTTTCTAGCTATCAGAAACCTTTAGTGTTAATTAGGACTAATACATTGTATGTTCTACATAGCTATCAAAAACCTTTAATGGCATATAGTGTTATCAAATGCATCTTAATTCAATAAGATTGTTCTCATGGTTTTTTTTTTTTTTTGAAATACATGTTCATAGTTATTTTTGTTTGTATATTGAGATGAATTATTTTTCTCTAAATTTCCTTGTAAGCAAATAGGAAGGATGCATTTTTGTGTAATAGATATATTACATAGAAATGCAATTCTTTTTATCTGTTTTGTTATATATATGTCACATAGCACATCTAAAGATGCAAAAGATAATGCCAAATGGTCAAAAAAGGAAGAAAGGATATTTGTTGAATTAATGGTTGAGCAATGAAAAAAGGGTAATAGGAAAATTACTACCTTTATTTCTATTGGTTGGAAAGAAATCTAGAGGGATTTCAATAGGAAAATAGAGTGCAGCTACATAGATATGCAGCTGAAGAACAAATTTCAAAAATTACAAAGTGTTTATAAGGAGTTCAAGAATGCATGCAAGCAAATAGATTTTAGTATGGATCCATCTAAGATTATTTTGGCAAATGATGTAGTATGGGAGGCCTATGTAGGAGTGAGTCATATGTGTATTGTGTTTCAATTTTTATAAAGTATTAATGGTTAAATATATAACTTATGTAATTACATTTATCCATATTGGATCATCCTAATGCAAAAAACTTGCGAACGCAGGGATGTCCATTATGGGATGAGTTTTGCATAATCTTTGGTGACACCACTATAACTGGTGACCATGCAAGATCTTCTAGGCAATAAGATAAAGAGACTCCTAATGTAGAGAGTATTAACTTTTTATCGGATTCTAGTGAGCACCAAACTAGACATACTAGGTTGGATTCTCTAGATCCCATGCTTACATAAAATGCAATAGATAATTCTAATAGAGGGAAGAGACCAATATCTCAGGAGAAAATCATTACCTCAAAAAGCCAAAAGCACAAGAAAATCAATAATTTGAAGGCTTTTGGTGAAGTAAGGCATTCACTGCAGAGTTAATGTACTATATGAATAAAGATTGTGAAAAGAGTATGCCATTAGTTCCACTACTTGACCCATATCCACTTAGTAAGTGTATTGAGGTTTTAAATGGTGTGTCAGATTTAGATCCAATGCTATATGGGAAGATAATGAATTTGTGCATGCATTCACATTGAAGAGTAGTCATCTACCACATTCCTGTGAAGTTAATGAGTCATGTGATTGAATCTATGTGAGAGCCATAATGATGGGATGGCTTAGTATATTTCACTATATTTTGTTTACTGTCATATTGAACACTAGATTTTTGTTTTATTTAGCTTGTTATTAAACATTATATTTCAGTTTATGGAGATTGTCTAGTGAACACCATATTTTAATTTCTTTTTAGTATTATTAAACACTATAATATCTTGTTAAACAATATATTTTAGCTTTATTTAGTATTGTTGAATAATATATAATGGTAGGATGTGATTTAATAGGATGAATCATAATGAAAAACTTGGCAATGAATGCAAAACTGATTATAATAGTGATGGAGTAAGTGATGATTGGGATATAAGAAGAATTTAATTTATAATGCTTTGTTATATGGGAATGACATATGATAGTATCTATAATAGACAAGTTAAAAGGCCTGATAAAGATAGGATATTCAAATTCATGTGAGATATCTTAAATGGGCATGAAAGACCATCTATTGATGCTTTTCAAATGGAAGCACATGTATTTCGTAGTCTCTGTTCAGTTTTAAGACAAAATGGATGGGCTGAAAATACAAGGAATTGCTCTATAGAAGAACAATTAAGGATATTTGTTATAATCTTGGAACAAACTTTATCAAATAGGATGGTAGTTGAAATCTCCCAAAACTGAAGAAATTATTCGCCACCACTTTAAAAGGATGTTGAAAGTTATTCTTAAATTAAGTCGTGAGATTATTGCTCCAATACAATATGAAGGTGTTGTGGTAGAAATAACACAAGATTCAAGATTTTTTCCATATTTTAAAGTATAAAGCTTTTAATATTTATTCATTATTAATTTTTTTATATTTGTTAAAAGAGATTAATATTTTTATGTAAAATATGATTGCATTGGTACTATTGATGGAACACATATCAATGCTTATGTTCCAGTTGACCAATAAATCTCATATCATTGTCAAAAGATTATGACAACACAAAATGTGTTATGCACTTGCTCTTTTGACATGTCTTTAACATTTGTGTATGTTGGATGAAAATGGTTAGCAAACGACTCTAGAATTTTTATAGAAGCATTAGCAAGGCCTGAACTAGAGTTCCCTATGCCTCCAAGTGGTATGAAAATAATTTTATGTTCAATTTTAATTATATAGAATATAAAATTAAAGAAAAAACTGTGCAAGAATATAGGACAGTGAGACGACAACTAAAAGATGCTCGTTAACTATTTAACATTCATCGTTCATCACTTCATAATGTAATAAAACAATGCTTTGGAGTGTTGAACCTCATGAAGCCTTATACTATTGACACACAAAGGTGGATAGCCATTACATGTTGTACACTTCACAATTTCATTAGGCAAGAGACATTACTTGATCAAGAAAATCCATTGTCCGGCTTCAGTCTAGGCTCGTAACGTATGTGCATTCGGAGGATGTGTCGCGTGTCCTCTGAATCGTGTGCGGTGCTTAAATGTCTGAAGAACGTTTAACCCCGTTAAGCCTATTTGCCGTTAATAAGTATGGGGGGTTAACCTAGACATGTATGCGAGTTCTGCTCTCCTCTCTTCTACTCACGCTCTCTCGCCTCCGCCGGCGGCGACCGTAAAACCATCACCACCGGCGGTTGTACAACCATCACCGGCGACGGATCAAGAAACCTCAAGTATTAATCCTCAGTAATTTTTAGGGTTTACTCCTTAGTAATTTTTAGAGTTTACTCCTCAGTAATTTTTAGGGTTTAATTGTTAGTAATTTTTAAGGTTTACTCCTTAGTGATTTTTAGGGTTTACTCCTTAGTAAATTTTAGGGTTTAATCGTTAGTAATTTTTAGGGTTTAATCATCAGTAATTTTTAGGGTTTACTCCTCAATAATTTTTAGGGATTAATGCAATTGTGGTTGGTATTTCATTCTTATTGAAACAATATTGTTCTTTGGGCTTACTAGATATCTATCTCATATCATGAACTTAAGCATATACTTGTAGGCTTCAAATGGCAAATTTTTTCTTTCCCAAAAACATTTTTCTTTTTTTTCACCAAAGCAAGAAGAAAAATTTGATCTATATATTTTCACCCCAAGTGATTTTCTTCTCTTGTCAATTACATAAAAACAAATTAAAAGGAGCTGAAAACAAAGCTCTCAATAGGACAGTTAACGAGTCGGGTTGGGTCAGTTTACTAGTATTTTTTCAACCGACCCGACTGGTCGGGTTACCTATAGATCAAACTGAAACCAACCCTCTATTAAGTAAAACCGACTTGGTCGGTTTGAGTCGATTTGGGTCGGTTTGGGTTTCAACCAACTCCAAGCTTGCACAATGCACATGAAGTCAAAGTGCTAATATTATATATAATATTTCAAAATTTATTTTCTGGAAATATATATTTAAAACCAAAACATATATATCAAAATATATATTTCCTAATTTCTAGAAATATATATTTTGGAAATATATATTTAATATATTTCAGATATATATTTATTATTTAAAACTAAAATAACTATATTTAACAGATATTTTTTCAGAATATATATATTTTTTCACATAACTTGGTTCGGTTCGGTTTTCATATATTTAACAGATAAACAAACCGAATTATTTTACAACCCGAAACCGACCGGTAGTGAAGAAAAACCGACCAACTCGGATTGGATCGGGCCGGATTGGTCAGTTTAAATTTATTTGTGAACAGCCTTAGCTCTCAATTTAATGAGGGTAGAAATGATAACTAAAAAAATCAGTCTGCAAAATTTTCATCCATTTTATAGACAATAAACAAACACAGGCTGAGAAGAAAGAAATAATTTATATCATTAATTATTAGGCCCTCTTGTATATACGTGATGGATGCGATTCTCCTTTGCATCCTAACAGTTCATTGGATTCTCCAAGTTTAGAATAAGCATCGGACTCTCCATCCAATGCAGAAAATGGATGCATTCAACCATCTACAAAACTCTTCTCAAATCCGGTTCTTCTTGTAGACATTTGAGAACTTCCACTATAAGATTGGACTAAGTATTGATTCCTGATTCAATAATGAAATTTGATCACATCCTCCTTAGACCATTCCTTCCGTGTTACCATCACCAAGCCATTAGTCATTGGTAAGTGGATATAGCTGAATCACCCAGGTATCCCAACCATCCATGTAGACAAATTTCAAAATGTCAGTATCATGTATCAAGCAGAAAATGGATACATATCGCAATACAAGTAGTACCCATCAAAATTCAAAATTCATGTGGGGTTTAGCTTGGTTCAAGTTCTTGTGATATCATACATTGTCACATTAAGGTCAACTGGAATCATAATCATGATAGCCAATCAGGTGTTATTTATCAAAATTCATGGGTGAGTTTTGATTGGTCAAAACTCTCCTCATACCATTTCTTTTCCGCATCATAGATTTCCCTAGATTCTATGGAGACATACACAACAATTAAAGATACATCAGATCCTTCAAAATTTACAGAACCCATAAACTAAAGAGTTCAAGTTATAAATCAAAAAGCAACTGTTATATTTTAATTATTTTATCAGTTTTTTTTATTCAACACTTTTTAACTTTGTAAACTACCAAAAATTTAAGAAAATGAGTTTAAGTCTTTAGCTTCTCAAAATTTACTAATGTGGGTAAATCAACTTTGTAAATATTAATATCTTTTATTCCTGTAAATAATCAATATGTTGTTATTTACTTTAAATTATTAATTGATAATTTACAGAAATATATAATCTTAATTATAAAAATATCAGATCCATTAGAATTCCTACGATACATATCATGTCATACAACTCAGAAATTTACATTACTAAAATAATTTTCCATTTTTATTAATTTTATTTCTTTAATTTATCAAAAGGTTAAAAAATCATTTTTTGACACAAGTTGTTGATGAACCAATGGATTTGACATATCCTTCATATATAGATCCATTTTATAGCTTTTTGCTTACCATCAAAACCATTAAAAGTAGGTTTTTACAATGCTTGGATGCCCCCAATTTTTTGGAAAAAAAAATTCCATAGATCTACTAATACGAGCAAAAACATCACAAATCCAACAACAAATAATATATGATTGCATTTAAAGCACCAAAATATTTAGACATACTATTGAAGAATTAAATGAAAAAAAGTGCATTCTTCCCCTTATTCTTGATTCTAATGAGATTTTCTTCCTTCCAACACAAGATCTAAAGTGATGGAAACTTTTCCACAAGTGCCTGGGATAAAATGGGAAAAAGAAAAACATATGAATAAGTGAAACTAGCAAACATAAATCATTCCACTAAGGCCTCATTCGCATTTCAGTGAGTTATTTACCTAGGTAAATGTAATTACCTAGGTAAGTGTTTGCTGGAAAACATTTACCCGGGTAAGTGCATTTATCCATGTTCTTTTATTTTCCAAGTAAATAATGCAATGACCATTTTAGCCATAAAAATCCATTATTAAAAGGGGCATTTTTGTCCCATTCAAGTGTTGGCAATTTTTCCTCTACATGGAAAAGTTATTTACCCACCTAGTGGATGGGTATCACTTACCCGGGCAAGTGATACCCAAGAAAATAAACTTTCCCTGGTCCCTACATAAATCTGAAAAAAGAACATACGGTTCTTGGTCAATGGGAACCAAAATCCCATTGACCAACTTTCCCCCTCTCAAAATCTCAAAAAAGAACGCCCCCTAAAATGTAATATCGCATTACTTTCCTCAAGGTTCAAAGTATCGACACGTATCGACCGATACGTATCGTTCCGGAATCCCTCCGATATGCCCCTACACTGGGTGTATCAGAGGTCTGACCGGTTCAGGGGGTAGAGGAGACCTAAATTGCCCCCCTGAACCGGTTGCAAAAAAAAAATAAAAAGCCTGAAACATTGTATCTATTCACCCGATACACCCATATTGACGTATCGGATGTATCAATATTTTGAACCTTGCTTTCCCCCCTCTCAAAATCTCAAAATAGAACACCCCCTAAAATGTAATATTGCATTAGTCTGCATGAACCAATACCATTTTACCCATGTCATGTGATAGTCCTTGTTGAAATGGATATGATATGTATGTGATAGTCATTTTACCAATACCATATATGTGGTTCAGCTTCACATCTACACAGTTGATTGGATGGAAAAAAATATGTTCGAGTTATTAAATGAACATAGGGGGCGTTTTTTTTTTCAGATTTTGAGAGGGGGGGGAAGTTGGTCAATGGGATTTTGGTTCCCATTGACCAAGAATCCCATGTTCTTTTTTCAGATTTATGTGGGGACCAAGGAAAGTTTATTTTCCTAGGTATCACTTACCCGGATAAGTGATACCCATCTCCTAGGTGGGTAAATAACTTTCCCACCTGGGGAGAAGTTGCCAACACTTGAATGGGACAAAAATACCCCTTTTAATAATAGATTTTTATGGCTAAAATGGTTATTGCCTATTAACATGAAAAATAAAAGATAGGAAAAAGACCACCTTCAAGAGGGTGTATCTGGATTCTTGCAGTAAGATTAGAAAAAGATCTACAAGACCCAAAAGCCAAAAGGAACCCGCGTATTTGCACTTCAAGACCACCTTCATAATAATGTAAGGGAAATTTGGAATATGGTTATCAAAGTCCATGATAGCTGAAAAAGGTAACCATGAAGTCTCATCCTTGTTATTATGGGGAGGATTTCTCTTTGTAACAATTTGTAGATGAAACTTTACCTTGTGAAAGTCATGTGTTTAAAGCCATCTCTAGACTCTGGTCCAAGCAAACCTCCATACAGAACTTATGTACTGTGGTAATAAAACCAGTTCCCTACGTGATTCAGTTAACTTCTTGCATTTTACACATCTCCAAACCACGCCAACGCCAACGCCAATCATAAAAGTTGGGAAGAAAATCGTCCTTGTACATGTCATGGCACTGGATGGATGATTGCATGGCCTAGATCCATTGTCTCATCCATTTTTTGGCACAGGTATATAAAGTGAGAATCTGGATCTTCCATAACAAAATCTGCTGGGAGAAGACCCCTCTCTGTCAGAGGAACAGGTTCCAGGAATGATTTCCATGATGAACTACAACCAGCAGGCCTTTCAAATCCTGGTCTGGCTGCAAAACAAAAACAGAAAGATACTAATGAAATTAATCGTAAGAAGAAAGAATATAAATCATAGATGAAAAAAAGAAGGAAAAACCAGTCATAATCTCAGGTGGCATTTGGTAATGTTTCAGTAGAATGTTTCTGTTGTTCTGTGAAACAGAAATACTACCAAAAGCCATCTTATTTAGCAAGAATAAGATCAAACATGAGAATGTTAAAGAATCAAAAATCTTGAATTCATTTTCAAGAAATCCCACGTCCAAGCATATGTAAGTTGAAATTTTGAACAGAGAGACACGGTTCCAAAATGTTATCACCATGTGGCAACATGGTTTAATATCTTGCTAACACACAGAAATAAGAGAATGTATTCTTTGACAACAAAGGGGCTAGCATTACCTACAAAAGTCAGTCAACTTTGCCTACTCTGGACTATTTGAGGATGGCTACACAAATCTTGTCCCACCATTGTGCTCTATCAAGAGCCATGTTTTCTGGCCGGACAAAGGAATAAATTTCATGGCCAAGCAACTATGTTTGAGAATATCAACCTATTCAAGGACCTCACCTAACAGGTAACAGCTTAAGCTTTTAGGTTGAATGGTTCTTTGAGATGGTATCAGAGCCACTTTGACCAAGTGGTCTAGTGTTCGATCCTCATTACCCCATACCTAACATGTATGGGTGGGCCTGTGCTTGTTCACACTTCAAGCCCAATGGACTTTCATGTGACGGGGTGTGTTGGAGAATATCAACCTATTCAAGGACCTCACCTAACAGCTTAAGCTTTTAGGTTGAATGGTTCTTTGAGAAACTATAACTAAATGATATTCATCATGCCAAAAATGTAGACTCTCTGATCAAGTAATTAAGTGAAAACAAACCAGGCATGGCCTAATGCAACCATCCCATGACAATCCCCGAGTCTCCATACTACGTCCACTCTACCAAAAGCCAATGTCTGCCTGAAGCCTTGTAACAAGGCCAAAATCTCCATTCTGACCAATGTTCCCTAAGTTCATCATGAGTTCAAAATAAGAGCCTTTTTCTTATCGGTATTAAAAGTTACAAAACAGTGAAGCTTTTTTCAAAGAAAAAATAAAATAAGGTTTTAAAAGATTTATGTTCTTCACTTTGTCCGCTAAAAAATAAGTAGCAAACAAGGACAACTCATCACCATATGCTGAATAAGATTTTACACATTGGGCAATGAAACCAAAGACCATATTACTTGGAATATATTTTCAGTTGGGCAACAGCTTTTTCATAGAACAACTTATTTGGTTTACAAAAAATATTTTCCAAACAACTTATTGAATGGAATCACTGAATCAAGTAATTAAGAATTTTATGGTATAAAATTCAATATGTGCTTTATGTTGTAATGAGGCTATATCAGAACATATAAATCCGTAAGAGGATAAAGATCCCTTTTCAAATGCCAAGTTCAGTAGACGAGGATATATATATATATATAAACTTTTGTATGTTCAAAGAGACATTGAGATTGCTCAGAAAATAAAGATGCCCTTTTCAGTTGGATTTAATCCCAATAAAAGGCTAAAGAGGACAAATGCTTCCGTCAAGAGTACCTCTAAGACTCCAAAAGATGGCATCAGCCCAAAAAGGTTAGTTAAACATCCTTGACTACTGGTTATGGATTGATTTGAAGATTTGGAATTGAAATCATTACGGTTTGTTGATCTATGAAGCCTGGATATTGATACTCACATGGACAGGGATACCAGAAATGGGTATATGACGATTCATTTCCAAGATCCAACACACATATGGGTATGAGCATCTGATTTGACAAGTTTTTTAATCTAATTTCTGAATCAAAGTTGCCATTTCTCAATAATTCAACTTCAATTAAACCTTTGCCAAGAAAAACATTAAATTAAAGCTCCAACACACAGATTTTCTTTTATAGTATGTTTTTTTTTATCAGTTTCTTTTATAATATGATTTTTAAAACATGTCACTTTACATATTTTAATAGCATTGCATCGGACAAGTATCATGTCTACAGGATGCTAAGCATGTAACTGGGTATCATAGTTTGTAATCCCTGCTACTAATACCCAAGTCAACCAGACCTGTTATGGAATTACCTTCCAAGTACTGATTGCGCACATGCAAGTTTTGGCAGCATTGTAAAAACCATTTATATGTCATAGTTTCTGCATTTCTAATCAGGTTATATACATAGATAGATCCTATTTTAATGGTATCAAAAGGCTCAATATAGGGATTTCATTCTCACTTTTTATTGAAAATGGCAACTCCATTACTCATATGGTAAAAGGAAAGTATAAGAGCAAATAAAAAACTTTTTCGTTTTTTTTTTTTTTTGAGAAAAGGCAACATATAGAATTTCATTCAAAATGTGAAGCCCCTGTACAAGTGGCTGTACAAAGGAAAGTTACAAAAAACATCTCCCCCATTTTCTATAACAGCACATGTTCCTGGTTGTTTACAAAGAGAGAATCTATACAAAAAATGAACCAATACTTCCTTTGTAAAACTTATAAATAGCTAATCATGAATACATTTTTCCTACAATTTTCTGTACCAATGTGCCTGTCTCACTGTGCTTATTTTGGAATTTCCTATTTCTTTCCTCCCAATTTCCCCAGAACATAGCAGTAGGCATTATGTTCCATGCCATCTTTGCCTTTCTAGCTTAAAACTTCACTACTACAGTATGCCTTCACCCTACCAATAGAAGGTCATGATACTTGTTTCAACTTTTCACCTAAATCAAGTAGCAGAAAGAAAATATACTGGCCAACTCTAATCACAATCTTTTTAATAAAAAATTATCAGCACCCCTTGATTTTTTATTTTTAAATCTTATGGTCCCTTCTTACTGCCTAGTGAGTTTGTCAAGTTTTCAAATGATGATGGTATTGTTTCTAAATAAAAACATTATCAAGGCTGCAATATTTCATGTCCGGGTTAAGATCTGGTCAAGTCCTTACCAACCCCAAGTTTAACACTGCCCCCCCCCCCCCCCCCGGAAAAAGAAAAAGACACAAGAAGTAAGAGAGGAAGAAGCTGGCAATACTTAATCACAATGATTTATGTTATATGCATTCAGTGCCAATGATGTGGCTTCCTCATGAGCACAATTATAGCACAAAAGAACAGTATATTATTTTTATTATCAATAACAATCAGTTTTATTAAATTAGAGGGAAGCAATTACAAGATATAGGGGAGGTAAAATGACTTAACTCCCCATCAACAAATTACAAAGAGAGAAAATTATAAATTAGGCCAAAACAAAGACACCCTATTCACCCCTTGCTTAGCTAACCCATCGGCAAATGAGTTGGCATTTCTTTTCACCCAGCTGTACTTCACCTCAATGTCCCTAGCAAACCATTTGAATTTTTTCCTTTCATTGCTATAGCTCCACATGCTACTGTTGTCTTCCTTTAGCCATCTAACCACCACCTCTGAATCACCTTCAAGGACCAATCTTCTAATGTTCAATTGTCTTGCTCTTTGGATTCCTTACAAAACCGCAAAGATCTAGGCCCTGAGAGAGTCACCTTCTCCAATTGGGCCTGAAGACAAGGCCAGAATAGACCCTTCCTCCTTCCTGAAGAACCCCAATCCCAGATGGCCCTAACAGTATATTATTCAATATATTTTCTTGATAGAAGGTATTTTTTAACTTCATCAATTGCATGACTATTCTAAAAGTGCACTCCATTAGGGAAGAACAAGATTATATATTATGGATTTACACATTTCAAATTTCCTTTTTCTTAACTTTGAGGAGAAAACGTTGCTACATATCCATGTTATAATCAGGCACTCGAGCATACATAGATATATAAGACCATACAATGTAATCTTTCTTTTACGCTCATCTGAGATGTACAATCATAGCATTGTCTGACATCCCCAACATCCCCACATCTCTTCAACATTCTTTTTACTTTTCACCAAAATACACTCCACAAAATGCATTTCATTAAAACCAGGATTTCCTTGTTGAGTACATTTCCACAAAGACTTGGATGCCACACTAAATTCCCCACATTGCCTATCAAACAAATCTACAATACCTCTTCTTTTCTTCCTTCTTTCAGTAACAGGCAGCACCTGTAATCTTCTTTTCTTCCTTTATCTCTGTTAGCAACTAAGAGCAAATAACAGAGGTAGCCTGTATTGCAGTTTGATTTCTAACAATCTAAACTACCACTAACTATCTTCCCAAGTTTTGAGCTCCTGAGCTAATGAAAGTCTTTTTTTCTTTTTTTTCTTTTTCTTTTTTTTTGGGGGGGGTCCTCCCTCTCTTAAATTCTAAACTTTCATCTTCCAAAACAGAAAAACAAATGTGTATATATAATGTATACATATATTGTGAGGTAGTGTTTTAAAAGCGCAAGGCGCAAAGAAGGCATAGGGCCCAATTTGTGCCCGAGGATCAAGGCACAAGGTGAGTCGCATGCCTCAAAAATACAAAAAAAGAATGTCAGAAAAATTCAAAAAATAAAAAAAAATATATTAAACATAATATTAATAAAAAATATAAACTTAAATTTTAAAATATTTTTTTAAAAAACCTATTATTTGAAATTAAAATACATAAACATAACATGTACAGCATATTCAAACGAGAATTTAAAAATAAAATCAAACATATAAAACATCTTCAAGCATGTAAAACCCACAATCTATTTTTTTCCACAATTGCATTACTCCAAGTAGCTAATGGGATGTAAAACATATTACATTCCTGATTCTACGAGCTGCCTTTGTGCCACACCCCTTGAGGCAAGCCCAAACAAGCCCATGACTTGTTTGTTTGAGAACCCCTTATTTGCTAATGTTGTTCATTCATCCATCCTAATAAAATATTTTCTTAAAAGGCAGTTAAAATTATAAAATCATTATTTTTGTGTGAGAACTAAGAATTTGAGACCCTAACATGGACTTGTTTGGGCTTGCCTCAAAGGGTGTGGCACGGGCCGCCCCCAACCCAGCCGCTAGGTTCAAAAACAGAAAAAAAAAAAAGCATGAAAAGGCACACACCTGAGTTGTGTCTCGGAGTTAGTGGAAAAGGTATCTGGGTTGGAAGTCAATGAAGCCAAGTGCAATTTGGTGGGGATTAATTTGGAGAGATTTGAGGTGGAGGGGTGTGTAGGTATTCTGGGTTAGGGTACTTGGGAGTGACCTCTAAAATATTTAGGCTTACCTTTGGGGGTTCTTGGAGCTTCTGTGAGCTCACTTCGCTTGCTCACCAAGTGGAGTAGAAACCCCTATTTGCTAATGTTGTTCATTCATTCATTCCTATAAAATATCTTCTTAAAAAGCAATTAAAGTTATAAAATCATTATCTTTTATGTGATAAATGAGAATTTAAGACCCTAAGATGGACTTGTTCGGGCTTACCTCGAAGGGCATGGTCAGGGGTCCGGGGCGGAGCCCCCGGACCAGCCCTTAGGCTCAAAAAAAAAGCAAAAAGCGCAGAATTTTAAAAAGGTGCACATTTGGGCTGAGGTGCAAGGCACATCAGGCACACACTTAGGCACACCAAGCATGCGCCTTTTGAAAGGGGTGCGCCTAGGACCTAGGCGAGGCACATACCCTAAAATGCGCCTCGCCTATGTGCCTAGACACGCCTAAACCATATCTTTTAAATCGCTGCCCACATCTTGAAGGCCCTTGAACTCCCCTAAAATCAGGGTATCATCTGCAAATTGCAAATGCAACACCACCTGCTCTTACCTGCCCACTCTAAAGCCACTAAATAATGTTCTCATCAACTCCTTTTAACAGTTTACTCATAACCTCCACCACCAAAATGAACAACATAGGAGATAGTGGATCACCTTGTTGAATTCTCCTAGTTGCCTCAAAAAAAAAAAAAAAAACGTTTTGGGAACCATTAATTAGGATAGAGAAATGCATGGATTTTAAACACCCTATAATCCACTTCATCCATCTATTCCCGAGTCCCATTTGTCCCATTACCCACCGCAATATATACATAGCTGTCAAGGCAACGCCTAGGCGACAAGGCGCCCTTTGAGGCTCACCTTGCCTAATCACCAAGCAATTTTCTACTTCCTACCTTAAAATACTTTTTTATTCACTCTTTTTTGAGATTATAATTATAAAATAGACATTATTAAACTAAAATAATCATTTTGTGTGTTTATATACTAATTTCTTTTTATTATTTTCTTATTTATTAGGGTTTAATCAACACAAACATTGCTAAATAC